TATAATTAGAGCAAAAGAGAAATAACAATACGTAATAAAAAAACCCCATTTTGTTATGGGTTAATTTACATAAAATATATATAGAAAAATAATACAAGGTAATAGAGTTTCACTAGATAACTAAATCATAACTAATCTAAATAACTAAATCATATAGAATCCTAATATTACAAGAGTTCTTATTAGAGTTCTTATAATATACTCAAGACACATTTAACTTTTTAAGCTTATGTCAGGCTTCTCTTCAATAGATGATTTTTTTTTCTTTTCAATCTTTTAATTTTATATTATTAAATTTTTTTTTTTCTTCGTGGACGCACGCGCAATAAGTTGAGAAGTATTGGGAATGATCACAAATTCTTATGCTACATTATTTGTGTTGCCACATAAATAAGTCAAAACTTTTTTTTTTCAATTAATTATTATTCCTATATCCCACCACTGCTTCATAATTATTTCTCAATCCAGAGGACCGGTCGTGCATTACATATAGGATTAGACATTTTAAATTTTTATGTAAGATAATTTAATTATGCTACCATGACATGTTATAATTTTAAATTTCTATCGGTCCTAATAATGTCTAGACATTGTAATTATGAAATTAGAGCTAAGTTCATTTTTTTTTTTTTTTAATAGACCAAGTATGAAAAAAAAAGATAACTTTTATATTTTCACTTGAAATCATATGCAAAAGTAATAAGAAATAATAAAATATGGGTCATCGACATTAGTGAACCACAGAAAGTTTGGCCCGAAAAGTGCAGTTAGAACAATTTGAATGGGTGGGTTGGCCCGTTCAATAAGTCAAGTTTCAAACCCGAAACAGATGATTCAAGTATCTTATTTTGTGAATTTACCCCTAAATTGAGGGGAAACTGTAATTTAATCCTTTATATTGGCCTACTTAGGGATTTTTTCCTCTAGTTTGTTATATTTTAATTGTTACATGTAATAACTTCGCGAATGTAACATTTTTCTTCATGTTTTGCATGAAGTCATGAACCCTTTATTTTGCGATGCGGCAAATAGAATTGAATGATTTTACTTATATCGTCGCTTAAAAAATATAATTTCAACAATTTTTTTTCAACCCGAAATAACAGGTATCAAATATTCCTAAAACTTAGCAATTACAACTTCGACATGGAAGAAATTAAAATCTTGGGTAAATGAGTGATACCCCTAATTTTGAAAATATATGAGCAGGAATATCTTTAATCCGTAGCTCAAATTACAAGTGTCAAAGAAACAACTTTTAATTTTCAATTTATTGGGTGGAAGATATAAATCATGGCACGAAATAGTAATTATAAAATTAGAACTAAGTTGGTTTTTGTTTTATTTTTTGTTAATTAATTAGACCAAGTATGAAAAAGGTAACATTTATATTATCCCTATAAATCATACGCAAAAGTAACAAGAATAATAAAATATGATCGAGTATCGTGTTTCTTTCTTTTTCTTTTTTTTTCCTTCCTATTTTGCCCTCTATTTAAACAGAAATTGATATTATATTATATATATATAACGAACAAAGTTATATATACATCTATTAATAATTACTTTTTTTTAAAAGAAAAAAAGAAAGAGAAAAGAAAATAAATGAATAGAAAAACTAATTGCCCATGTCTATGCGCAATCTCTTGTAGTGGTGAAGCTTTAATTTTCTCCAATCATAAATAAACATTTCGGATTGGAATTGGCCGAATTCGAAAATTCAATTCTGTGCACCCATTGATTATATGATAATTTTTATTTAGTATAACCGGATAATTTGAAAGAGAGGAGTGCACTAATTACAAACACTATATTTTGATATTTAAATTTAAATAACACACAACACAAATTAACTTAATCTACTTTGTAAGTTCAGAAAAATAACGGATTGGTTGACATCCAATCATGAAGTCAAGACTATTTGCCGATTAAAGTAGTTGACTATAATGTTATTATAATTTTTAATAGATGATTAAACCTAAGGTTGGCTAAATAGTAGTAGTAATATATATATCTTATCTTGCAAACAATTTATTTTTTGTTGGGTTTTTAGTAATTTGATAAGTGCGTGTGAAAGGCCCCTCACACCCACATTTACAGTCATAAATCGTATTGTTGTTTTATGTGATTCATAAAATTATTTCATTTATATTATAAAAAAAATATTAATTAAAAAACGAGCTGGGAATACTTTAGAATATGATGTATCCATAAAATAATTTGAATTCTTAAATTAATGTTCGGAACAATCCTTATAATTTATAATGTGTTTATACTATTATACACCGAATAGATCTTTATCATTTATATTACTGTGTGTATATCGACGGTGAAGATCTACCATGTGTAACTTTCAATGGGAAATCACTAATCAGGCGCATCCATTCACTAAGTAGATTACCTAATGAACACTTAAAACATCGGATTAACATTTTATTTACCCATGATGAACCTAATTAGTCACTTTTAATTAATCACCTTGAAGATTCTTAGTTAAAGATCGACTCGTTTTGAGCTTAGCCAATTCATGCATTAACTTTTAGGGGAGTTAGATGCTACACTTGATTATTTACACTGGGTAAATTTGAATTTTAGACTTGATTAGATAACTACACATGGGTGTGTGCGATTATATGTCAAATCTACGGTTCAAATCCACCCAATGTAAATAATAATCAGATGTAGCATCTTATTTCTCACTTTACCGGAATTAACTAATGACTTCAAATTAGTAATGTAATTATTCCTTTTGGCATCCCATAATAAATTAAATAACTAAAATACTAGACATATAAGGCATAATTTCAAGTGTAATTAATGATGACTAATCTAAACAGAACATTAAGGACTTAATTAAAGAATTATGGCTCACTAACTATATATATAATGTTTGAGAAGAAAAGGGGAAAAAAAAAGACAAAAAACACTTTATGTAAAAAGTAAGTAAGAAATATGATAGAGAAAACAAACTTAATTAGTTTTGGGTAAGAAGACTTATTTTTCAAGAATTAATCGTTTCACCTAACTATTTAAAAACGACGTAATGGCAGTAATTTAGCACTTGTATAACATTAAGTTGGGCAGTCATGGCTAAATACAACTAGCTAAGAGAGACATTTCATCTTAAGAACAAAGATATAGATTTATTACACACACACACACACACACACACACACACGAAAAGAAAAGAAATGGATTTCCGGGTTCGGGTTTTGATCCTCGCAGCATGTTTGCTCCCGTCTTTTGTCGAATGCGAAGTTCGGCGCTACCAATTTAACGTGAGTTTTTCGTTTAATTAGTGTTTTTTTTTTTGTTTTTTTTGCATTCTTCATTTTTTATTCAATTTTTCTTAATATTTTAATTAAGTCGGATTATGGTTTCAATATTGATGAAAATGCAAGTAAAAAGTAGGGCTAAATACAGTTTGCACCCTTTAACTATAAGGGTGGTAACACTTACCCCCTTAAAGTTACAAATGTAACACTTATCCCCCTCATTAATGAATTTAAAGATATAACTTTGACTTTGAATGATGTGGCATTTTTTCTTCCCAAATTGTCCTTCTAGCCATTAAATAAATAATGAATATGTAATAATAAAAAATTCGGCAACTTTGCCAAAACTTAATTTTATTATTTCAATATTGTAAATTTATGAATGAAAAAAATTGAATTTTAGTTTATTTTTGTTTTACCTTGTGTTCATTTGTAGCTAATAAAAAGTTAACGATTATTCGAATTGTAATTATAATTTTATAGTTTATATAGTTATTTTAATGCGTATATGACTCTAATATAATCATCTCACTTTTTATTTTGAGAATCACAAAATGTATTCAAAAGTTAATAAGAAATTATAATTTAAACGTCTAAATATTTAAATATTATTTTATTAAAATTTATATTTAAGTAACTTAAATAAATTTTCAAATCAATAATTATTATAAAAAAATTGGCCATTTAAGTCTTGAATATTTTTTTCTTGCGAATGTTTAACGTATTTTATATATTTTTTAAAATATTGAGATTTTTATTTATATTAGGGTCTATAGTAATTAAAATGTGGAGTTAAACATAAATCAAAATATTTTTTTAATAATTATTATATTTTATAAATTTTAGTTTTTGATATAATATTGAAAATATTTTATTATATATGCATCAATATAATAGCTAGAAGGACAATTTGGGAAGAAAAAATGTCACATCATTCAAAGTCAAAGTTTATCATTAAATTCATTAACGAGGGGGTAAGTGTTACATTTGTAACTTTAAGGGGGTAAGTGTTACCACCACTATAGTTTAAGGGTGCAAAGTGTATTTAGCCCAAAATTATATGTATAAATCATTAAATAATAATATATAATATAATCTCTTGTTACAAAACATATTACTCTATCATATTGTTCTTCCTTTCGATATTAATTTTGAGTTATGCATTGTTCCACTTCTAATCATAGTAGTTTCAGTAGAGTTAGCCATGCTTAAAAGATATTTAATATATATCTAGTTCGATTTTAGAAAGATAATACATATAAATATATTATAAAGACTCAAATATATTTGAGACAGTTATGTAATGAAATAAATTGTTCATTATAGGTATGAGCAGTTGGGCACATGAATGAAGAAAACTATTGTATATCTCAAAGTCAAAGCAAACAACAGCCATAAACAAAAATTTGTAAACTGTTCCGGAATCTTCATACAAAGTTGTGGAGATTTTTGCAATCTACAACATTATGAATCTGAATTTGGTATAACTCAAAACACAGAATTTGAATCTAAAGAACCAATAAAAAATAAATTAAATAATGACGTGTAAATTCTTTTCTGAAAATATCCAAAATAAGATATTTTCCCAATTATGATTTACTCATCTATTAGCGACTTAACTCTGATATAAAATAAGGAAACAAAATTCTGATCTTTTAATAGATAATATACCATATGTAAAAATTAGATTCCGTAATTTTTTTTTATCAAGCGGAAAGTTTCCATAATTCAAATATACTATATATAGTACTTTTACCAAGTGATTGTAATTGCCAGCTCACTCAATATCTGCCACGTCATTATTTTACTTCCAATGTCTGAAATTTCCTTATTAAAAAAATCCCAAGTTATGGAAAATTTTATTTCTAAAACATAACTCAGAACTCTATAAATACAACACTAGCAAAACGTTATCCCCTACTCGTATACATTGAAAGACAATTTGCAATAAGAATTAATTCAAAGTTTTTGCATGATGGAATCATCAAGATCACAAGCATATCAGATGGAGCACCAACCTTTCGGAAAATTGATCCGAGTTTTGGCAATTGATGGTGGTGGAGTTAGAGGGATAATCCCCGGAGTTATCCTCGAATTTCTCGAGTCACAACTTCAGGTATGTGTATGTATTAATTAGCTCTTACTTTTCGATTCGTGTACTGATTTTTTCTTTTCTTTATCAATATTTAATGCATGAATGTATAATTATTTCAGAAATTGGATGGTGAAGATGCTCGACTTGCAGATTACTTTGACGTAATCGCAGGCACAAGCACAGGAGGTCTCATCAGTGTAATGCTTACCGCTCCAAACGAAAAGAATCGACCATTGTTTGCTGCGAAAGATATTAAAAATTTCTACCTTGAGAACTGTCCGGAAATATTTCCCCAAGAGAGGTACTACTTCTTTCTCTCTTTCTTTCTTTCTTTCTTTCTTTATTTATTTAAATTTTGAATTTTAGCTCCGAAATTTAACGTACTTGGAATTGGTTGTAGGGATAATCTTGTTAGTCACACTGCAACGACGCTCAAGTGTTTTTTATCTGGTCCGAAATATGACGGAAAATATCTTCGAGCCCTACTCAAGAAGAAACTTGGAAACACAAAATTGCATGAAACATTGACAAATATTGTTATTCCAACTTTTGATATTAAAAAGATGAGCCACACTATCTTCTCCAGCTATCAGGTATGTTTGTGTGCTTTTCATACTGATTTATTATTTATAATATATTATCCTATATATTTCATTTATTAAGGTCACGTCTTTTATATCGATCTTATTGTTAACTATTTAGGTAAAAAACGACCCAAGCTTAGATGCTTCGCTCTCGGATATTTGCTTAGGAACTTCAGCCGCTCCGACTTATCTCCCAGCACACTACTTCAAAACAAGAGATTCAAAGGGCAAGAAAACAAAATTCAACCTTATTGATGGCGGGATTGCTGCTAACGATCCGGTAAATATCTTACACTAATTAATATTTTTTTATAGAAATTTCTATGGCAATATAAGCCGAAATTCAAGAATAGATTATTAATATTTCTTTTATGGATTTGCTTTGCATGCAGTGTTTCATAGCAATAGCTGAAATAATAAGGATGAAGATGGATGAAGAAAATGATAGTATTTTTCATCGAAGTCCAAAAGAAGAAGGTCGATTTCTAGTATTGTCTCTAGGAACTGGTTCAGAACAAGTTCATAAGTATGACGCCAAAAAAGCATCAAAGTGGAGTACTTTGAGATGGTTGATCAAAAATCGTAAATCGAAGCCCTTGTGGGATGTCATTTCTCAAGCTATACAAAACATCACTAATTACTACGGTTCCACTTTTATTGGAGCCCTTCACTCTAGTGGAAATTTTCTAAGAATCCAGGTAATTTAATTTTTCTTCCGATGAAGTTTAAATTTAATTTATTTCACATGTAATATCATTCTAAGCAATTATAAATAAATATATATGTTTTTTTCAGGACGAGACTTTAGTCGGTGTAACGTCGTCTGTGGACGTTGCAACAAAGAAGAATTTGAAAAATCTCGTCAAAGTTGGAGAGGACTTGCTGAAAAAGCCAACTTCAAGACTGGATTTGCGTACCGGAAAATACGTTCCATCTGCTGATCAAGGAACAAACGAGGAGGCGCTTATTCGGTTAGCAGCAATACTTTCCAAAGAGAAACGGCTACGTCAGGATATTGTTAGGAAAAGAGAATCATCCGATTGGAACGATTTTCTCGAACGTTGGGGGATTGATTCATCAACTGATTATTTTTTTAAGCAAAGTTGATATGTCATCCTCTAGTCTCTACTTGCATTAATTTAATTTAGTTTTTTTTTTTTCATTTTTTTAATTGAAATTTCTCTAGTTCTGGTTGTATGCACAGATATTCATAATTCAATACAAGTTATTTTTATAGTTCTTTGAGGCATGAGTGTTTTTATAGTTCTTTGAAGGACAATTTGGGAAGAAAAAATGCCACATCATTCAAAGTCAAAATTATATCTTTAAATTCATTAATGAGGGGGGTAAGTGTTACATTTGTAACTTTAAGGGGATAAGTGTTACCACCCTTATAGTTTAAGGGTGCAAACTGTATTTAGCCCTAAAAAGTATTAACCCATGGAAGGTGCAACCATAACTAATTAATTCCGTGATTTAATTATTATTCCACTCACAGAATAATTATTAGAATTAACAGCATATCACTCCTTCCGTTGTTGATTAAATATTTCAATTAGTACCTACAATACACTGAAAAAAACATGCACAACTCCAAATTACTAATTATGGAGATATTGCTACAATGCGCAGGTGGTGATGAAAAACACCACCCGTGTGTGCTCAACTAAATCAATCGTCACAGTCAACGGAAAATTCCCGGGACCCACTATCTACGCTAGGGAAGACGACACAGTCCTCATCCAGGTCATCAATCGGGTCAAATACAACGTCTCGATCCATTGGTAACAAGAAATGACTACTTAAATCTTATTAAAATCCGAAAACTCAAAATAAGTTAAAATTGAAAATAATTTTTATTTTAATTAAATTAATATAGGCATGGTGTTAGACAACTCCGAACCGGATGGTCAGATGGGCCGGCATATATAACGCAGTGCCCCAACTAAACCTAAGGTTGGCTAAATAGTAGCAATATATATCTTAGCTTGCAAACAATTTATTTTTTTGTTGGGTTTTTAGTAATTTGATAAGTACGTGTGAAAGGCCCCTCTGTTGTTTTATGTGATTCATAAAATTATTTCATTTATATTATAAAAAAAATATTAATTAAAAAACGAGCTGGGAATACTTTAGAATATGATGTATCCATAAAATAATTTGAATTCTTAAATTAAGGTTCGGAACAATCCTTATAATTTATAATGTGTTTATACTATTATAGACCGAATAGATCTTTATCATTCGTAAATACATAAACAAACACATACCTATATTAGTGTGTGTATATTGACGGTGAAGATCTACCATGTGTAACTTTCGATGGAAAATCAGGCGCATCCACTCACTAATTAGATCACCAAATGAACACTTAAAACATCGGATTAACATTTGATTTACCCATGATGAACCTAATTTGTCACTTTTAATTAATCACGTTGAAGATTCTTAGTTAAAGATCGACTCATTTTGAGCTTAGCCAATTCATGCATTAACTTTTAGGGGAGTTAGATGCTACACTTGGTTATTTACACAGGGTAAATTTGAACTGTAGATTTGATTAGATAACTACATATGGGTGTGCGATTATGTGTCAATCTACGGTTCAAATCCACCCAATGTAAATAATAACCAGATGTAGCATCTAATTTCGCACTTCATCAGAATTAACTAATGACTAAAAATTAGTAATGTAATTATTCCTTTTGGCATCACATAATAAATTAAATAGCTAAAATATTAAACATATAAGGCATAATTTGAAGTGTAATTAATGAGAACTAATCTAAACAGAACATTAAGGACTTAATTAAAGAATTATGGCTCACTAACTATATATATAATGTTTGAGAAGAAAAGGAAAAGAAAAATAAAAAACACTTTATGTAAAAAGTAAGTAAGAAATATGATAGAGAAAACAAACTTAATTAGTTTTGGGTAAGAAGACTTATTTTTCAAGAATTAATCGTTTCACCTAACTAATGAAAAACGACGTAATGGCAGCAATTTGGCACTGATTGTCACCTATATAACATTGAGTTGGGCAGTCATGGCTAAATACAACTAGCTAAGAGAGACATTTCAACTTAAGAACAAAGATATAGATTTATTACACACACATACACACACACGAAAAGAAAAGAAATGGATTTGCGGGTTCGGGTTTTGATCCTCGCAGCATGTTTGCTTCCGTGTTTTGTCGAATGCGAAGTTCGGCGCTACCAATTTAACGTGAGTTTTTCGTTTAATTTGTTTTTTTTTTAATTGATGAAATTGCAAGAGAAATTAGTGAGTAACATGCAAGTAAAAATTATTAGCATATAAGGTGCAACCATAACTAATTAATTCCATCATTTAATTATTATTCCACTCATAAACAATACTTATTGCAATTAACAGCTTATCACTCATTTTGTCGTTGATCAAATATTCCAATTAGTACCTACAAATTATAACTTAAAAAATATGGATACAACTCCAAATTACTAATTATGGAGATATTGCTACAATGTGCAGGTTGTGATGAAAAACACCACCCGTGTGTGCTCGACCAAATCAATCGTCACGGTCAACGGAAAATTCCCGGGCCCCACTATCTACGCTAGAGAAGACGATACAGTCCTCATCCGGGTCATCAATCGGGTCAAATACAACGTCTCGATCCATTGGTAACAAAAATTTAACTATTTAATCTTATTAAAATTCGAAAACTCAAAATAATTTAAAATTGATTTTTTTTTTTTAAATTGATATAGGCATGGTGTTAGACAACTCCGAACCGGGTGGTCAGATGGGCCGGCATATATAACGCAGTGCCCCATACAACCCGGACACAGCTACGTGTACAATTTCACTATCACTGGGCAAAGGGGCACACTCTTCTGGCACGCGCACATCCTATGGTTGAGATCCACCGTCCACGGTGCCCTCGTCATCTTACCTAAGCTCGGCGTCCCCTATCCTTTTCCTAAACCCGACCACGAATCGGTCGTCGTTTTAGGTATGACCTAATAAAAATTAATTGATAATTTGCTACTAGTAATTTTTTTTCTTAATCAAATAATTTAAAATTTAATTAATGTTTCTTGATTTTGTAGGTGAATGGTGGAAATCCGACACCGAAGCTGTCATAAACGAGGCTCTAAAATCCGGCCTCGCTCCCAATGTTTCCGATGCTCATACGATCAACGGTCATCCTGGACCGATCTCGAATTGTCCCTCCACAGGTAATATTTGAAGAAAAAAAAATTAATTAAAAAAAAAAAACATTGACATTGGGACCCAGATTTAAAAAATATACATTATCTAATATTATATTCGGTCATCTGCCAGGTGGTTTCTCGTTAAACGTTTCACCGGGGAAAAACTACATGCTACGACTAATCAACGCTGCACTCAATGAAGAACTCTTTTTCAAGATCGCCGGCCACAAACTGACGGTGGTGGAAGTGGACGCCACCTACGTAAAGCCCTTCAAAACGGACACGATCCTGATCGCACCGGGGCAAACCACCAACGTGATCGTAACGGCGGATCAGGGCGCCGGCAAGTACATGGTGGCGGCGTCGCCGTTCATGGACACTCCGGTGGTCGCCGTCGACAACAAAACCGCCACCGCCACGATCCACTACTCCGGCACGCTCGCCAACTCCCCGACATCCTTCACCGCCACGCCCCCGCAGAACGCCACCCCAGTCGCCAACAATTTCGTGAACTCGCTCCGAAGTTTGAACTCGAAGAAATATCCGGCGAAAGTTCCGATGAAAATCGACCACAGCCTCCTCTTCACCGTCGGACTCGGAATCAACCGCTGCCCGAGCTGCAAAGCCGGAAACGGGAGCAGGGTGGTGGCGAGCGTGAACAACGTGACTTTCGTGATGCCGACGGTTGCTCTACTCCAAGCGCACGTGCAAAATATCAAGGGGGTTTTCACCTCCGATTTTCCCGGAAACCCTCCTCACGCGTTTAACTACACGGGGGCCCCACCGGCGAATTTATCGACCACGACGGGGACGAAGGTTTACAGGCTGCCGTACAATGCAACGGTTCAGGTGGTTTTGCAGGATACTGGGATCATTGCACCGGAAAATCATCCGGTTCATCTGCATGGATTCAATTTCTTTGCGGTGGGCAGAGGGTTAGGTAATTATAACCCGAAAACGGATCCGAATAACTTTAATCTGGTTGACCCGGTGGAGCGTAACACCATTGGAGTGCCTTCTGGTGGATGGGTTGCCATTAGATTCCTAGCAGATAATCCAGGTTATTAATTAAATTATTTAGATATATTAATCAATTAATTAATTAGCTTGCCTTAATTTGAATATTGAATTAATTAAATGGAAAATTGAAATTGCAGGAGTATGGTTTATGCATTGCCATTTGGAGGTGCACACAACATGGGGGCTAAAAATGGCATTTTTGGTGGATAATGGGAAAGGCCCTAATCAGTCTATTCTGCCACCTCCTAAAGATCTGCCTAAGTGTTAATTATGAATTTTTTTTTTATTTTTTTTATTATTTGATTTTTTTGATTTTTGAGAGTAATTTTCTGGCAAAGAATGGAGAAGGTTTCAAGACAAACATCATGGGATTGAAGAATCTAACAAGGTAACAACAGAGTGACACGTGGAGACAAGAGAGAGGTGGTGTGTGTGTGTGTTTGTGTTTGAATAGTGTATCTAGTATCAAGTGCTCAAAGCCAAAGCTATATTTGTTTCTTCAGTGAATTTTTTTTACTCAATAATTATACATTCATTGTGATTGTACACACATACTCTCGCGTCTCGTATTATATGTCGTTTTCGGCAAAAGTATTAACAAAATTATTAATTTTCTCACCATTAATTAGAAGTATGACGGCAAAATTGAGAAAAATGTAGTAAATGCATCATAGAAACTCTAAACCGATAGACGATTCGAAAGGGAAAGAAAAAAATCTCGAAATCGACGAAATTGATTTGAAACGGAGGGAGTATTCTGCGAGATTTTAATCTCATTACCAATTATTTTAGCTATTTTATGTGGGCTTTTAAATGGAAATTACCAATTATTGGCCATTGGGCTTTTTCTCATTGGACTGGACTGAAACTAGTTCCTATTTCTAATTCAAAACCATTAACTAAAAATTCCTATTTATTCACCGAGCATTTTCACATAAACAGAGCATTCTTAAAAATTAAATATAACAATAATGATCTATATTATGAATCAACCAAACGAGACCTTAGTAAATAACCAAGTTACGTGTGTTGACTTGTAGAGAGAAACTCGTGAAATTTGTTCGGTCTTTGAGAAATCTTGACTCGTGATCCATATGGACTAATTAAACTTTGATCTAATTAAGACATGCGGTCGATTTATATTTGAAACGAACTAAGAACTTTGTCTATTAAGAAATGACCGTTAATTATATCTGAAAAACGGTTGCTTTCGGACAATTACAAAAAAAAAAAAAAAAAACACCAAAATAGCTAATACATACTGCAATGTATTTGATATTTTCAGAGGAATTGTCGAATTCCGTCATTAAAGCGATGGAATGGAACGGAACAACTAACACTTTAATGATGTGATTTTTGATACGGTTTTACGACGCTGACTTCTCATCTTCTTATATCAAATTACCCTTCTGCCCTTCGGCTATAAACTTATCCTAATTAATCTAAACTAGTCTTATAATCCTTTTTATTTAGTTTATTTCAATATTTTTTATTTGTGGTGATGGCTTGAAGTGAAACTACTATATTTAGTCTTAAATCATTTTCAATGACAGAAAATAATATGAATTATGGTGTTGAAAGGACTAATTAGTCACTAATTTTGGTAGTTGGGTAAGAGCCAATCCTTAATGGGCCCACACTAAAGGTTAATGGGCCCACACTAAAGGGGCAGCATCTTAAAAAACAACCCACATTGCAAAGATGGGCCCCCACAAAAAAAAGACTACACATATGTGTGCGTGTCATAATTTATTATTTATTCTTTTTTTATTGTTATAAATCATATATATTTATTACTTTTTTTTAAATACACCAAAAGTAACATTTTTTTGCAGGTATGAACTACTCATTTAAAATGTGATTCTGAACTAGTGCAGGAAGTCTTTAATTATTTAAGTTAACTTTTGCTTGCAAGATTATGTTAAATTATGGTGATGAATTTTACTTATGTATTGGAACCATTGTTTTGATTAGAAATAGTTTGAGGGATCTTTGCTATAGCCTAAAAGCTTTTTATTTTTGCAAAGAGTTCTACAAGTTACAGATGCAACAAAAAGATCTATAATCATTGTTCCAGAACATACACCATAAACACACACATAAACAAATCAAACACACACATATGAACAAATTAAACAAAACATGGCAATATAAACCAATAGGCGCACCTTGATAATTGCATCGTCTTGCAAATACAAGAATTTGTTAAACCATATCAACGTGGAATGTGAAAAGGGTTATCTGTTAATTTTCTTCAAAATTTCACTTTCACCGTAGAATGATTAATAGGAGAGAGAAATAGGTATTCCACAGAGGGAGTAATATGAATGCATCAAAGTAAATCCCTTTTAATATTATTTAGCACGATGTTGGAGTTGATCATAGTTTTTGCAAGTTTGGTAAATGAATTTATGGACTTGATAATAAAATAATTTCCCCTATTAAAAAAGAATAAATTAATAAAAAATAAAATAAATTGCCAACCTGTAGGGGGGCCCACATGAACTCACCAACTCAGTCACATTGCGCTTTTTGGAAATGTAGTAATCCAAAGAATCTTTCCACTTGTGGAAAGTCCAACTTTCTTTTGTTGTATCCATCACATAGACATGGGCAATTAGTTTTTCTATTCATTTATTTTCTTTAATTTTGAAAATTAAAGAGACATTAATAAGTTATTATTATATGTATATATATCTTTCGGGTCAGTTTAATCGAACATTTGCAATTTGTTAAAAGTTCTCTGGTCTTTAGACTCACATTCATCCCATGTAATATAACTGCAGTCCATCAGATTCCATCCAACTTATTTGCGCCACGTTGTCATCGTCGAAACTCTATCACACGGCCATAAACAGGTGTACACACATATGCAAAACGAGCAAAATTCACGTGTACTGAAAGTTATTATAAGAAATATTTTGGAGGAGCTTCTAGCTAATTTTCCTTTAAATAAATTCCAAGTAGCATATGTGATTTTGTATCTTGAATGCACCTTAATGCAAATGTTTAAAAACAAGGTTAATAGTTAATACAATACTAATTAATGAAACCCATGCTATTTAATTAAATAAAAAAATGAGAGAGTTGGCCTAACATGTCATGTCATTATAGATTTCATGCCCAACAATTTAATAAATAGGAATATATATAAAAAAAAAACGGAATATAACTAATTTTTAAATCAAATATACTTTTCAAGGGAAGGACCAGCCTAGTCTAGCCTATACATATGGTCCCCAGATTTAACAGCTGCTAAAAATAATTTTATAAAAAATAATAAATAAATAAATCAAATACGCCAACTACTGTATAAATATTATTTTTTTCGACCAAATAATTGAAACCGAACATTTTCTTTGGCCAGTAATGTATTTGTACATGCCCAAAAAACAAATAAATAATAGTAATTAAAAATGTATTTTGCTGACTTGTATATATCGTACAGTAAGTACATTGAACCTTTCACTAATGCTTAAATTTTATAATATTTTTTCAGTCACACCTAATCTGCAAAACATGCGATTAACATAAACGAAGCTATAATCTTGATTAATAAAAACCGATGTTAATTAGTATTTTTATACACTCCTATTTAATATTATTATTTTATGTGTTATATAATGATTAGATAATTGTGTATGTTTATTCACTTTGAACAAAATGTCATTATAGTGGACCTTTAGTTAAGTAAATTTAAATTAGAGCGCACTAATTAAATTATGACAGGTGCCCTAATCTGATAATCCCGTACAAGTCAAAACAGCATCCTCTTTATTGTACCTTGTGCTTTACACTATTTCAATTGCAATTAAGATATTCCACATGTCATAATTTGCCGGTTAAACCTCTTTGCTTATCCCTTGCCAACTCATTAGTATTATTTAACATTTAACAATTAAAAAATAAATTAAAAAAAAAAAACAAAAAACAAACTTTATTTGGTCAAAAGTGAATGTTTTTTTTTAACTGTAAGTCAGATACATAAAAGTTACATGAATCAAGTACTTACCAGTAATTTTGAAAAATAAAATACACAAATAATTGTTGTATTTATCTTAGCGTAAATTACGGCCAACCCCTTGAGGTGAAGTCAACTTACGAAAAAAATTCCTGTTGTTTGGGTAATTACAACTTCTCCCCTAAATTATGAGTCTTCTTACACGTTTTGAAACAAGATGATCATAAGATATGTTTCTTGACTTGTAAATATCATATTGTGGTGCATTAGAAACTATATTTTTGCACAAAACAAGTACAAACTAGAGAACATTTCACGAAATCTAGAAAATTATATTGAATTTGACACTACAATGGTAGACATGTAAAAAGATTTGTAGTCGAGTCAATAGTTGTAATTATACAAACAAGAAGGGTCTTGTCGTAATTTGACATTATATATAAACTTTACCTTAAATGGGAAAAAAACAATTATTGAAACTGAATCTTGTATAAGATCTTCTTACAAAACTTGCAATAATGAAGGAAAATTAAAGAATGATTTAAAATTGAATTGTGACCAAAGGTGTAAGAAATTATAGCATAATCATAAAAATTGACAGACATTGCCAAAAGTTCCCTGCAGCAAAAAATGTGGACAATAAGCTGATAGCACAAAGCTCAAAGCTGCATCAACCTCTTCAATGAAATTACATATATACCCCCTCCCCTGCAAACAGAAGAAATGACAGATTGTCATTTTCTTGCATTTGATCAAGCAGCTTTCTCTCTTTTTATGTTTTAATTATTTTTTTTTTAAATAAACAAAAAGTTATAGTCAGCTGCAAACCCCACAGACACCTTCCAACCAATCATTCACATACACCCTTCCATCTGTCTGACTCTCATCTTCAATTAAATATTATCATTTATTTATTTTATTGTGTTTCTCTCACATCCTTTAAATTAAATAAAAAGAAAAAAAAAAGTACAGGTAACTTATAGATTTACTTGTGTAAAACTCTTATTAAATATTTATTTGTTCTTACAAGTAAAGCTTTTTCCTTTCATCATTTTGTCTGAATGAAAGCTCCTCACCCTGTTTCTCTCTTTCTTTCTTCAGTACAAAGTGAAAGAAACTAGAGATCTTTCTTAGTATTACTTCACTCCCTTATCAATTTCTAGCCTGCCATTTTTACTTATTGTACACACCTGCCTTTGTGGGTTTAGAGGAGTGCGAGTTA